AGGGAAAGAGAGAGGGAAGGCGAGAGGGAGGGAAAAAAGCAGAAAGTTGAAAGTCCTCGGCCAGGCACATTATCTCACAGCAGGGCCCAGACCTGTGGTGAGAATGCCACCCATGCTTTTCACTCTTGGCCACACCTTGTCCCAGCGCTCACCAACCTTGCAGTGCATCTCTGCATTATTTGCGCAATGCAGAAAGTCACCTATAAACTTACGAAGCTCTTCAATTATTATTATAAATAAACACAGTCAGCAGCTCTCCCCCTGCGCCTCTAAAGACCCTGGAACTGTAGCAGGGAAGACGGAGTTTACACATCACCTGGAGCACCATCAGGCTCTGGAGTGGGTCAGCTTTGGGGGATGGGAAGCTCCCGCGCCAGTTCACCAGGCAGCCCAGGTCCTTCCTGGAGCCCAGATCCCAGAGCAGCCCCTCAGCTGTGTCTGGCCCAGCACGGTTGTTTGCCGGGACACAGGTCCCGAGGGCCCCACGTCCTAGCTCTTCTCCTGCCTTCTAAGGACACTTCCACACGTGTGGCTGTCATCTAGCCTATGCCCATGAGGAGTCAGGGCAGCCAGACTGGCCAGGCCTGGCTCGGTGCTCGGTCCTGAAGATGCACACCCAGCCCTGCCTTCTTCCCAGCGCTAATTGCCTGTGAGCTGGTTCGGTTTTGAGAAACCGGAGCCTTGGGTTTCCATGGGAGCCTGTTGCCTTTGCTGCTCTGACCCTGGACCCTGTCATCCTCTGGACGGTTGGCAATTACACCCCAGTTCAGGAGCGGGTAGGGGCGGTGCAACAGGGCTAAACATAGACACCGTTTCTAGAAAGTCAGGGGTGAGAGAGGACATGGACCAAATCTCATGCCAGAGACCCGCTCACCAAGGCAGGAGAGACAAGCAGTTCACAAAAGCATAAGGTGCCTGGGGCCAGAAGAGTCTCGGGCCTGGGGCAGCAGGGTCCTTTGCCAGGAGGTGACCCTGCCAGCAGAGACACAGCTTGCAAAACCTGAGCCTGGGGCCAAGTACCAGCTCCGGGCTCTGTCTCTGCTGCTGCTCTGAGTGTCACCGAAATCTCAGAACCTGGTCTGGATACAGGAGCCTGGTGGGTGGAGCTTCCGGTAGGAAAGACCAATGTGGTCTGACAGGTGGCACCTACATGGCTGTTTGTATGTGGTGGCATCCAAGCGTTCTCAGCAGGTGATTTTAAAAAATCAACTTTAACAGAAGGTAGGTTAACGACATAGTAAAGAGCACAGGCCTTTTATTTTTTCGAGGGCAGTTTGGCAATATCTACCACCATGTAAAATGCACAGAGTCTCTAACACAGTAAGTCTACTTCCAGGAATTCATCCTGCGGGTAATTCAGCCCATGGGCCCCAAGGTACGTGCAGAGGGTGGTTTCTGCGGCACTGAGAAGCCCAGGACGGAGCCCAAACGCCCAGCAGTGGAGGCCTGGTCACTGCGGCCGAGTGCAGCAGACAGAAGGAGGTGGCTGTGGGCAGGGCACAGGAGGGATGCTGGGACAGGAACAAGCTTGAAGAAGTGTTCCTCACCAGATAAAAGCAAGACACAGAATGGCGACTAGAATATACCTGCCCCGCCCCCACTTTTATATAAATAATCTGAGCTGGTAACAGTGACAGCTTCTGGGGAGGAGCTAGGGGCCTGAGAACTGGGTTGAGAAGGAGACTTAACTTTTTCACTAATATGTCCTTTTGAACGGTTTGCATCTTTAAAAACAACAACAAAACCATACGCAGGGGTTTGTTTTTTTAAACCAAAAAAATCTACTACCCACTATAACTATGTAACAATTTAAAAGGAAGTACAGCTTTGGTTAGCTTGATCTGTTTGGATTTAAATCCTAATACACAACCGTGGACACGTTACTTAATCTCCCCAGGCCTCAGTTGCCGCATCTGTAAAATGAAAGCGACCCCACAGAGAAGGTGTGAGGATTAAGTAAAGGCCGCAGGACTGGACACCAAGTACACACTCACTCAAGGGCAGGGAGAGGCAGGGGGAGGGAGTGCTGCCGGGCGGCTGCAGAAGGCGGTATTGCACCATGCCAGCGAGAACCTGAGAACCTGGGAGCCAACACCAGGGCTCTGCAGGCCGAGGAGGCTCGGAACATGCTGTTGCTTTTTATGTTGCTGCTGCTGCTGTCTCAGACCCGCAGCCCTTGTAGGAGTTACAGCGACGGTTGTCCAGTTTCCCTGAGCACCAGCCAGTCTCCGCGGAGCCTCTGACTGGAGTAAAGGTCGCTTAGAGCCTCCCGGCCCAGCCCTTCCTTCTTCACACCTGATAGCTAACTTCTGCGCAGGCCCCTTTTCTCAGAGATCCCCGCGACACGCGGACACGTCACAGTCACGGGCGTTCCAGGGTCCATGATGGAGGAGAGAAAGGCTGACCTGTTCTCAGAGACTAAGATACGAAAGGGAAAGAATAATTGCCGCTTACTCAGACTTTTCATGCCAGTCCTTCACCTATTACCTCCCAGGCTCTCAGCACCCTTCCAGAATAGGGATTATCCCCTTT